GAGTGTGGTTACCCTTTGCTGTAGCACAGAGTATTCTAAATCTCAATATGAAGATTTGTATATAGTTTTATCATGTACTCAGCTCACCATTGTGGTTACTTTTGCCATAAGTACTGTTATTAAAGTTTAAGTAATTACTTGTTCTGCAGTAGGTAAGAATACTATATAACCTATCAGGTACACAGCTGCAGTAGTGTAGTTGCTAGTAACACAATTCATGGGGTGATTGTATGTAGTTATCTGGTCCATAAACCCTCATCAATGAATATTCTATTGTAATGTTCTTTTATGTCCAAAAGTCTTTTTTGAGAGCAGTTAATCTGTGTGTTGGATTTGAATTTACATTAGGGTATGGCCTGTTCTAATATTTTGTCTAATTGTCCAGTAACTTTAACGTTTTTGCAAGAGAAAATCAGAAATTCAGCTTGTTAGGCCTTTCTTTGCATTTATTATGAACCTATGTGAAACATTCCTTTGTAAAAGGAACTTCAAAAATACTGAAAACCTTTATCTGTGTTCCAGTTAGCAATTGATTATGGAATCAAATTTTTGGAGACAAGTGCAAAATCCAGCATAAATGTGGAAGAGGTAAGACATGGGTGGTACTCTTAGATAAGTTTCTTGAACTAATACTAGGGAGGCATGTCTCATGATCTGCTGGGCTATCTGACCTGATCTGGGACCCGAAGCCCTAACTGTGCTCCTGGGTCACCAATCTTGTTATATTTAGAGAGTTACAGTAAAATACAGCATTTCTTTTCTTTCTGGCTATGTCTGGAATCGTTTTTAAATGGGTGTTAAAATGTTTTACTGTCATTGTAGCAAACACCTGCTTTAGACTTTTGTGCCTTACTACTTAACTTTTGGACAGGGAAAAGGTGTAATTTTAGAACAATGCTTTGGATGGTAAAGGGGGTTAAAGATGCTGTACTTTCAGAAAAACATGTTATTGTGTCTAAATACTATGCAGATGAGACTGAAGATTTGTATGTTAACCTGGAACATCAGCATAGACTGTCATAAGCTGATGTTAGAGGAGCTGCTTTCCCTGCTTCTGGAGAATTGCAGAATTTTTCTGCTACAGAAGTTTCTTTGCTCCTTCATATATTCAAGTCAGAGATTCTGAGATTTGGCAGTATGGTATTTTTTTGTTGTGTGGTGTTGTTTGTTGTTGTTTTTTATGGAGCTGTCAGAATCATGAATAACATTATAGATGGACCAGGAAGAAAAACAGTAGAGAGCAGAAAGCAAGCTAACCTGAATGTGAATTCCCAGTCGTGCCATCCTCAAACCTACCTTAGGGTTTCTAATTGTGATGCAACAGTTCAGCTTGGTTTAAAAAAAAAAAAAGTATTAGTGTATGCAGCCTTCTCTTCAGATTTTTTTTTCCCCCCCCAAGAGGTATGCAATGGGAAAGTCTGTTCACTTTCTTCAGAGATTCGAGGGATGGAGACTAAAAAAACATTTTTTTTTCTTTTAAAGCATGCTTATTGCAATTTTAAGTAAACAGCAATAGCTCATAGTGCCTTGCAGCTCCAAGTGGCCTGCAGAATAACGGGTTGTTAACATGTGTGGCTACTCCAAATCTATCTTATCTTTAATGTGTCTTGTGACTAACTTGTTGGTTTTTTATTCCCACTCCTCACCAGGCTTTTTTCACACTTGCACGGGACATTATGACAAAGCTCAACAGAAAAATGGTTTGTATTTCCAATTGGCTTACAAACTAGATATATTGATATGACTGCTTTAATAATGGGCTGGGTAGTATCCCTAGCAAAATACTCCTAGGAATTGCAGTGGCTACTCAATAAAATTTGAGCAAACAGTGCTTTATCAGATTTTATCACAGATCAATGTGTAATTTTTATTTATTTTTGCATTAATATTAACATTGGGCAGCCTGAAACTGATGTGTGCTTTTTAAGTGTAACAGTGTAATCCTTGCTTTATTAAACACCAAATGACATAGTCCTGCAGCTAATGCTTGAGATCTGTTTTTTTGGATAAATGCTTAATGGGCAGTTTTATTGTGTAATTAACAGAGTCTGGGTAATTGAGGAGCTTGAACTTCAAAAAACCAGTACTCTGGTCATTGCTTTGCAAGGTGGGGCGGGGGAAGTGTGGTGGTAAACTTGGAAAGCAAGACATCTTTTTTCTGCATTTTATGATGTTGATACTTTTCTCTCTTTCAGAACGACAACAGTTCATCAGGGGCAGGTGGGCCAGTAAAAATAACAGAAAATCGGTCTAAGAAGAGCAGCTTCTTTCGATGCACGCTACTTTGATGAACTTCTAATGATAGACTGCAGCACACTTAGAACCTTTTCTGCTTCTTTGAAAGCACAGGGTCACAAAGCCTCAGAAATAATACCACCAAGCTGCTGCTGAGAGCTCCATTGAACGTAGACTGCGATACACAAAATACCAAGTGGATTTTGCTCACTAAGCCTATTGACCTGTCAGGCTCTTCTTTCTCAGATATGGAAGCTATGAAGTGGAGACACAAATGCAAGAGTTAACTTGTTTTCCTTTTTTACTTTCTGTTTTATTGCCTGTTGCAAAAGCTGCTATGTTTCTTTTAACTTTGCACATCCATATTGGCCTCTTACTGCCTGTTACAGCACAATCTTACATCTGTATTTGCACAGTTTGACTTGTAAGTAAGATTCTTAACAGATTTGTGCAGGGTTTTTCTTTCTCTTTTTAAACAAATTTATTTCAAGCAGAAGAGCCAGAGGAAAAAATTTAAGTCTCACTTCCATTATTTTCTATGCTGTATACTTGTGGCCATGACTGCAGTATGGATGTTGACACTCTAGTGATGAGAATTACGATAACAATTGGCATTTAACAATCTGTATGGTTTTGTCTCGTAGATGCACAAATCTGTTGATGTAGAAGCCCTGGCTTCTGTTCTGAATGTAGAATGTTGCTTTTCTTTCTTTACCAGACTTAGCAAAGTTGTGTTTGGAATTGCCAGTCACTGTCTGATTCACAAATGCACCTTTCAGTTATTTGAATAAACAAGAGTGTCTTTCCTCACTTAACTGCCCTTTGGTAGCTCAAACTGCACCGGTTTTTGCTTCCCATGAGGAATTACACTCTAGAGTTGAGATCATCCTCACAAACTGGCCTCATCACTGTCACTTAAGTGGCTTGTGGAAGCTGAATGCATGAGTTTTGAGTAACCTCTTTGCAGATTCATTTGTTCAGAAATAACTACTTCTAAAGGTGACTTCCATTTCTACTGCCATTTTAAGGATAGATCGTTAATGTCTGTAAGCATCAACCCTTTGACAACACAGGTGTCCAAAAACCTAGCTTCCTGTGCAGTTGCTAAACTTTATCAAGTTCTGGCACCTAGGAAATGGGTCACATTAGGGCTGTAATGTACTGTTAGTTATGCAGTTAATGCTGCATGTTTGAGGCCCTCTTTGGTCTGCTCAAGCAGTTATTTTTTAATAAAAAACTGGTACAGTGACCTAGACTGTTAGAAGCGGAGTTGAAACGTAGTTGCCTTTTTTACTCAACTGAGCATTGTATAACCCAGCCTTTGTTCTACTACTTTTTTATTGTCCTCTGAAAGATTTCCTCTATGAGCAATTAAAACAGGTGCTTTAGTTCTGTTGATGTGCCAAACTTGGACCATTTTAAGCTTTAACTACAAGTTTGTCTCCAGTATGTTTGTTTTACTAGGGAGATAGGTGTGTTCTATCATTGTCCAAGTCCATGTCTGATGTGCTTGCTTTTGCTTCATTGTCTAGAGTTGGTAAACAGCAAGTTGGTTGTTACCATAGATAACCACTTCATTTTGGGATGTCAGGTACTGAATTTGGTATCTCTGGGTTTGTTGTAAATATTTTGAAAGTGAATGGGCCAATAGAGTTAGATTTAAAGACTTCTGATGTTAAAAGGTTTAACATTAGTAGCTGGTTCCATGAAGTTTTAAGTGGTTGTTAACCTGTCCCCACATGTAGAAATAGTTATTGTAACAAGCTGGCAAATCTCATTAACTGCTGTTGCTGCACTAAAACAGAAAATTCATGGCAACAAGGTTTAGTGAAAAAACAAAGCAACCCTAACTGCTCTGTTGTCCACCCTTGATGTTTTTCTCGGACAGGCTAAAGCAGTTCTGTTTTCTGTATGGTTAAAAAAAGTGCTTCTATACAGAAAGTGTTGTGACACCAATTATGAATGTTGTTTATTTTCAGTAATTTACCTCTGACTTACTTGGTGTCGTAATACTTTGATTTTTATCTCAGGGGTTGTCTGCAAACCAAAACTGACATGTTCTGTGTTTGGCACCGTTTACAGAATGCTTTGTATTGTTTTTCCTGTCTCTGCTGTGTGGTTAAGTGTTCATTCAATATTAGTCTCCATGATCTTCCCGTTGAAAGAGCCTGTAAGTAGTAGAGTCTATGAAGTGCTTCTTGAAGCAGCAGCAAACTGGGGTATCTGCTCTGAATGGAGGGGGGGGTAGGGAGGGGGGGAGAAAAAAAACAAACAAAAAAACTTGCTATTTTCTTACATTTAGCTGTGCTAAACTGTACATAAATGTGAGGTAAGACCATAGGAAATTCACTTGATGCATGATAAAATAATGCCGTAAATATTTCACTTTGCTTACTGTTCATGTGAAGTTCATCTTTTTCTATTTGTAGAAGAATTTAATGCAATTTTGTTGTCCCCTGCTGAAACTGAAGAAATCTAATTTCATGTGATGTTATGGATAAGGTAAAATGCAGATTTCTCTCTCTCTCTCTCTCTTCCTAGTTTTGCCTCCACCCTCTTCTCCAGCAGTATTAAACAGCTGAGTGGCTGCACTTTATTGGAGTGCTAACCTCTGGTCAATACAGACCTCTTTCTGTGTACACTCTGCCCTGTCAGACATTGAAAAATGTGCTGTATCTTAGTGTGCAAATCAGCTGCATGTCTTACTGGGAGGTTTTTTTAGCTACAATTTCCTTTAGAAGGCAGAAATACCATTTGTCATCAGATGCTGGGTACTGCAGGCTTTTCTAATACACTTGATTGTTTTGGCCAGTCTCTGTTGCTACTTTCCTCAAGACTATATAATGTAAATTTTGACAGACTCTGAACTATACCTCAGTTAACTAGTTAGTATTATAATGTCCCTTAGAATGAAAGTCATGTAACTATTAATCATTAAGCAGCAAATATGTTTCTGTTTTGTTCCAGAAATTGCCATTAACCTTTCAGGAAAGGCAGATATTTTTGGTGGATTTTGATAAAACAAAAATTCCACTTACGCTGTAGAGTTTTCTGAAGTCTTTCCCTCAGCCCCATGTCTATGGACTGTATCTTGCACAGTATTTTTCTGAATGGTTTAAAAAAACACAACCAACCAAACAAAAAATTGGTCTTAGTGCTTTGCAATTTCAGCTTTCAGTCTGTGCTGAGCAAAACATGCAGAAGAGGTTTTTGTTGAATGTGTATAGAATATTTGATTTACTTACTGTCTGGAAGTTCTGTTATTACATAAACCACTCATGAAACTTAAAGCAGCTCACTTTTCTCTTTGGGGGACAGACTCAAAAATGCTGATTGACTTTTCACACCTGTAGTTCCTTTACAGAAAGTATTTCCCATTGTAAGTACCTTTCCCATACTAGTCTACTGAAGTCAAGTGAATGAAGTGGATCAATTTCACAAGTGAATAAAAGAGCCTTGAATATATACATATTAAAATATTGTGAATGGATAATGATTTGAAAGCACATGAATAATATGTAAAATGCATAAATGTGTTATTTGTGAAAATGCATCTGTTATTTGGTTATCTATTAATGTAACTGAAAATTTGCAATGTTGAACTTCTTAAGGATTGGTCTATAGGTGACAACAGCTCTTTTTTCTCCTCCATTCACTGAATTGCTTATGCCATTCTCATAAATAAAACTTGTACTTCTTTCTTCCACAAGAGCAGGATTTCCATTTATTTTTCTTGTTTCTGGTGAGCTTAAGTACATTAGTGCATTCCTATGGCCTTACAAACATTTTTGCAAATAAAACTTCAATTACAATTATTTTAATGCTATATAGCTACTAAATTCAGAATAAAAAGTATAGTCCTTGAGAAAATGTTTAATTTTTAAATAGAAGTGTTCTACTGTGTGTGTTTAAGCACATTTTATCTCTGGTATAAAGGTGTAATGTGAAAAGCTCCTGCAGATAAAAGTGAACTTGTTGTGTGGTTAACCTGTAAACTTAATCATTAATTGTGTACTGATGTGTATAGACAAAAAAACCCCAAACCCAACCCCTAAAAACCCCTTCACACTCTGATGGTTTTATTATTCCATGTGAACTTTTTTACAACAATGTGTGTCTCAAATAAAAGTTACATAATTAAAAGTATTTGGAGTATTTTTAATGAAATAGTCCACCTAGTTTTTATACAGTTGGCATTTCCACTCTATTTTTGATGCATCTGTGGTAGAAGGGTGTCCAGCTGAGTTGTATCTGTAAAGCTTTGCTTAACTTGAGTGGCAAACCACAGGGGTTTGTTTGGCTTTGGTTGTTCCTTAACTGGGCTGTTTTTTTAGATTTCTCCTGAAATATCCTCTATTCCTGTAGTGATTGCTTAAATCTAAATATATTATTTCAGCAACCTCCAGCTTCTTTAAGGAACCATTTTTCCAGACGTTTAGTGTCATGAAATACCCTTCCAAGGTAACTTCTCAGCAATCCCATTAAAGTGGATATGAGAGACAGCCTCCAATTTGATTAAGAATTATCTCACTTAAGAATTAGTCACTTAAGGTATTAACATTTTCTTTTTGGGGGTTGTTTTAAATCAGTGTTACGTGAAAGGTATGACTTCAGTAACCTGAGGCAAAAATATAATGAATTAATATAGCAAATATTGTTTGTCCAGCTTCCTTCTGAATATTGAGGTATTTGACAGAAATATTTGTTTGCTACTATACTGACAGTAGTTCTTCTGTATTGTTGTGGTTTGGCAGTAACTGTTAATTGGTATGAAAATTAGTAAACCTCTGGAAAGAATGATTTTGTCTACCCAAGACAAATGCAGATTAATGGCTCAGATGTCCGAGGGGGCACCCTAGGGAGTAAATGCATGGATGACAAGTAGCTTCTAAAGTTAATGATTTTTGCATGTTCAACTGTATGTAGCTGAAAGGATGTATTGTTTCTTTATGTTAGGCAAGAGAAAGCTAGAGTTACGTTCTCATTAAGCCTTGTTTGTTGGTTTTAGTTTGTTGTGTTTTCTTTCAAACTGCTTCTGGCACATACTTTTGTTGCTTTAGGACCAGCTGTTTAAACATTATCTTGCAGATCCCCTTGATCTGAACTGGTTCTAGATGCTCAGCAGTCCCAAAATCACTTCTGCAAGTCCTTCAGTTCTCACAAAAGTTAGTGGTATGCATCTGCATCCCAGCAACATTTTAAATACATTTGCATTCTTCATTTGTTAAAAGGAAATAGCTGGCATACTTACACTACTTAAAAATGGTGATTTATTACAGTTCCTGTATCTATTTTTGGTTGCAGACTAGCAATTACTGTACAAGTAGTGCACAGTTGTAGACCAGAAACAAGTTCTTGGCACATGTGTAGAATGTATCCAGCTTTTATAACCTGGTAAATTGTCTTTTTCCTCACTGGTTCTTTTTTCAACTTAGTTGACTAGTGGTTCTTTAGAATTCTTGAACTATAGTGAAGTCAATATAATGTAGATTTCAAAGTGATTTTTCCTTAGAAAGATTGTAATCTTTGGGGATGTAGTGTTATTTCTTGCCATCCAGAGGTTTAAGGAAAGGGCACGGAATGAAATGCAAAACATACTGAAGAGAATTTTTACTGCTCTAGGGATGTTCTGCAGTTGCTTCAAAAATTCTGTATGGTCTTCAGCAGATCACACTGGCACTGAGCTGCTCTGAACAACTCTTACACAAATCTCCGAGCGGGTATTCAGTACAAATTACAAGTTTTGAGCAGGATATGAACATTTTCCTCATCTGAGAAATTAACATGTTTAATGAATTGTGGATAGCGTG